CAACAACAACAACAACAACAACAGCAGTAACAGCAACAAAAGCGGCATGGCATCAAAAACAAAACCACACTCGTATTTTAGCTACCTCGCTTTCTCCATGGCATGTCAATTGTGTCACGACACGATGGAATCGGGCGCTCGTTAATTTGTGGGCATGTGTGAGTCATGAGGCATCGTGGCGATATCAGGCGCTCGTCAAATTAATGAAAGCAAAGAAATCAGCATTTTTTTGAACGATGGGCAATTTTTTTCTTATTTTCCTGTTTGGCTCAACACCTTTCATGCCCTTTTATAAACACATTTATGTGTGGATTTTACTGAAAAACGTTGATTAAAGGCACAAAAATGTAAATTTTCAGTTTCCAAGAACTATCAGGCCATGGAAGTTACCAAACTTTGGCAGCCATTTTCTCGCTAATTTTGCCTCTGAAACCAGGTGACCCTGACCTCCTTAGAATGGAGATATTTTTACTTCTATTCAACATAGATGGATATTGTTTTCACCAAAACGAAGTCAAATGAACAGGCTTTAAAATGATACCAACAACCCAACATGCCCAAAAATTGACGAGCGCCTGATTCCTCCACGCCGTGACACATATGGAGTTATTGGTGACATCTTAAAGCTTGTTAGTGAATCCTGCTTTTGATGAAAAAACAACAACACCTAAGTATCTCTGGAAAAGAAGTCGAGATATTATGTGTGATTGTAGGAGTTGGGTTCGCCTGGTGTCAAAGGTAAACTTAGCGAGAAAATAGCCGCCAAAGTTCAGAGACTTCCAGTGTTTGAGAGTTCTTGGACACGGAAACAGCAAATTTACATTTTTTTGGTGTGTATTTGATTAACGTTTTTCAGTAAAATCCACATAAATGTGCATTTAAATGGACGTAAAAGTTGAGCCCAAAACAAAGCAACACAAAAACAAAAATAAAAAATAAAAACAAAATCGTTAAGATACCCAACAGGCGGGAAAAAGTGTGGGTTTCTTCGATTTTTCGTAAATTTAGAAATCACCACGCCATACAACTGAGGCAGCTTAAGTTTCTGTCCTAGCTGGTTGCCAGTTTCATTATAAGTGGGTGGGTGGTTAGCGGGTGCCCCGGTGGGGATTGCTCCTTCTTTTCTATGGAACGTAATATATTATTCTTATCTCTTCTCCTTCCTCTAGTCTTCGGTATTTATATGACTCAGTTGTGCTGCAAGTGCCATAAAACTCTTACTACAATAGAACAAAATAAAACTCGTTTTATACGTGTTTTTCTCTGCTCCATGCGTCATACGGCACTCCCTGTGTTTCGATTCCTCAGGGTATGTTCCAGAAAGCAGAAGCGCTGTACAATCGGGGCGATTTTGAATTGGCGCTTGTTTTCTATCACCGTGGCAACCGGTTACGCCCAGAGCTACAAGACTTCCGATTAGGTATTCAGAAGGCACAGGAAGCAATCAATAACTGTGTTGGAAGTAAGTATTAATGTTTTGTTTTTGGCACTGCTATCCCCATCACCACTCTGCCACCCCTTGACATGTTATGCTTTTTTTTTTACCATACTGTTCCGAAGCTATTACATGCAGGACACAAAACCAAACTTCTCTATGCAACAGCGCACCACAGCACACCACACCACGCCACACCACACCACACTACGCCACATCACGCCACAGCACGCACGCCACGCAACATCGCACACCTCACCACACCACACGACACCACACAATATCAAATCATACCTCACCAAAACACACTTAACACAATCATATATTATCATAAAAATCAGGCCTGGACACACCACACCACACCACATCACATCACACCACACCACACTACACCAAGACACGATACCCCACGCCACACCACGCCACACCACGCCACATCACGCAACACCACGACACGCCATGCCAAGCCACGCCACACCACCCCACGCCACATAATACCAAATCATACCACACCGCACCATACTTAACAAAATCAGATAATATAACAATCTGGCCTGGACATACTACACCACACCACTCCTCGCTCTAGTGAAGCACAGCACGTCACATGTCATCACATTATACCCGGTCAGACTATATTACATCACTTGGGTTCACAGCACACTTTACAATATTAATATTATTATCCCCCTGCCCCCACGTGGGCACTCCGTTAGCAGCCTCAGGTGGCATCATGCTGGACTAAAGAATTGGCCCTGGTTTAACCTCAGACTGGGTGTTCTTGAACACACTTTGGTCGTTTCGTGGAGTTTTCAAGGCTCTCAACCCATCTGGCCCCCTTCCTATCGGAGACGGACGTTAGATTCAGAGGCACTGCCTCTAAAGTGCCGGATAGTATTGATAGGGGCGTTAAACCCATACACTCACTTTTTACACCCCTCACGTGGCTCAGTGGCGCACCACACCACACCACACCACACCACACCACGCCATGCCACCTTACACCACACCACACCACACCACACCACACCACACCACGCCATACCACACTACATCACACCACACCACACCACACACGACACCACACCACATCACAACACACCACAATACACCAGACCACGCTGTTCCCCACCACACAAGGCCACACTATATTATAGCTCACCACACCACAACAAATAGCACCAAATCTTTCTATGCCACACCATAGCAGACCAGACAAGCCAAACCACAACACTCAACAGTACATTACGCTACATTACACTATACCCCACCCCATCAAACTACACCACATTAAATCACAAGATAGCGCACCACACCGTATGAAACTAAAACTGACCATATTACATTCTGGAACACCACAGCACACCACACTACACCTGGGCCTGTGGTTGGTTGGCGGGTGCTCTCGTGTGATTTGCTCCTTCTTTCCTATCAAATACCTATCGTCCTTATCTCCCCTGTCACGGTAGTTACAGTTTCGCACCGCACTCTTTTATAATCACGGGACGTAAGCGCCCCGTATGCCATGGGTTTTTGGTTAATGTTACTCACTTCGGGGGTCAACATAAAAAGTCAGACACTGCACCCGGGCTCATTTTCTAGATTGCTTGGTGTCGTGTGTGTTCGTCTCTCCTGTTTACAGTCGTGTGTGTATACTAACATTACATGGTGTCAGAAGTCAGCGGTTAACGTGTCACAAGTGCCAGAATGCTTCATTTCAAGCCCCCTGAACCGTTTGACTTTTCCAAACCTCACGAGTGGCCTGAGTGGCGACGGCGTATGCTACGATACCGCACAGCCACCAAACTGAGCGCAGAGACTGGAGCAATCCAAGTAAGTGCATTGATTTACGCTATGGGACGCCAAGCTGAACAGATATTTAAGACGTTCACGTTCCCTGCTCCCGTCGACGGTAACGATCCTAGGAACAACTTTGACACTGTCATAGAGAATTTCGACGCCCACTTTGTCCCCCAGCGGAATTTTATCCACGAAAGAGCAAAGTTTTATGCACGAACACAAAACAGTGGGGAGACAATAGAAGAATGTGCTAGAGCCCAGTACGAGCTTTCAGAACATGCAGACTTTAAGTACCGAGATGAAACCATTAGGGATAGATTCGTCCTAGGAGTACTGGACAATGAACTGTCACAACGCTTACAACTCGAGGCAACTCTTACTTTGAAATCAGCCATCGATACAGCACGCCATTTCGAGCTCGTTAAGGGTCAGGTCAGTAGCCAACGTCAGCCAGGTACAACAGTAACAGTAGATGCAGTGCGCTACGGCCAGAGGGGATATTCGGCGTCTGCTCACCCCTGGGGTAGAGGCGGCCGAAGAACAGGTGGACACTCACAAGACAGAGGCAGCCATGCATCACCATCAACGTCCTCTAACTGCGGCAACTGTAGAAGAGGTCATGCCCACAACAATTGCCCAGCTCGTGGGAAAACTTGCAGAAAATGCGGCAAGCGCAATCGTTTCGTAACAGTCTGTGGCAGCAGCAGCCGCAATGTCAACAAATTCACTGAATCAGAAACTCCTTCGTTCTTCTTAGGAGCTGTTGACAAAGACTCGGACAGTAATGTCGTTCCTGATGTGAACTTCGGCGAAGTTAGCGAGCCACCTCGGCGCGTTACACTGAACCTTGGAGAGAGAGATACATCCTTCAAGATAGACACACGGGCCGATGTTTCGATAATGTCGAAGGCCAACTACAACCGTCTCAGTCCTCTTGCAAAACTGAAAACAACGTCTGCAGTTCTTCGCAGTCCTGGTGGAGTCGTAAGGAGCGTGGGAAAATTTATCGCAACTACGCAGCATAACAATTGCAACTTTGCGTTCCGTGTTTTTGTCCTTGACGACGACACTGACTGCCTTCTCAGTCGCGACGCCGCAGTTCGTCTGGGATTGATTTTTCGAGACAGAATAGACTCTGTCAACCTCGTGTTCGACGATGTGGGACCTGAACCTATGCGCCGCGAGCCAGTAAATATCATCTTGAAAGAAGATGCACAGCCATACTCCGTGAACGTCGCACGTCGGATTCCCATTCCACTCATGGACGAAGTCAAGGCTGAACTAGACCGCATGGAAGTCCACAGGTGTCATTGATAAGATCAGCGCTCCAACTGACTGGTGCGCGCCCATGGTCCCGGTCAGAAAAAGGTCTGGTAGCGTTAGAATCTGCACAGATCAGAAAAAGCTCAACTTTTTGGTTAAATGTGAACGATTCACGCTGCCCACCATAGACGACATCTTATACAAACTCAGCGGATCAAACAAGTTCAGCAAGCTTGATGCAACTTCTTCTTTTTGGCAGTTGGCACTGGACGACGACTCCGCGAAGCTGACTACTTTTATTACCCCGTTCGGCCGGTACTTCTACAGACGTCTCTGCTTTGGAATCACCTCTGCGCCTGAAATATTTCAGCGCACGATGCTAGACATTCTAGCGGGCATAGACGGTGTTGAGTGCTTTATGGACGACATCCTCCTGCACACAGATGGTCAGCATAAACATAATGAGCTGAAAAAGAAAGTCTTCCAGCGGCTAAGGAACGTGGGGTCAAGTTGAACAAATCCAAATGCAAGTTTGGCAAGAATGAAATCGATTTTCTGGGCCACATCATCAGCGGGAAGGGTGTAAGGCCAGATACATCCAAGGTCAATGCCATCACCGAAATGCCAGAACCAGAGAACATTACTGACTTGTGACGAGTTCTCGGCATGGTGAACTGTTTGGGCAGGTTTGTGCCAAATCTGTAAACAGTCATGAAACCGCTCACTGATCTTCTGAATCACGATGCTGAGTGGGCGTGGACTCCAGCGCAGTCATCTGCCTTCACCGAAGTCAAGAAGTTGCTGTCGTCAGCTCCAAAACTCGATTTCTTCGACATGAGGAAGCCTGTCACTGTGTGTGCCGATGCAAGCAGCTACGGACTGGGGGGAGTTCTCCTCCAGGAGGACATGGGTGTTCTTCAGCCAGTGGCTTACTGTTCCAGAACTTTGTCTAGGGCCGAGAAGAACTACGCTCAGATTGAAAAGGAACTGTTGGCGACCACCAGGGCGTGCGAAAAGTTCGATCGATACCTCATCGGGCTGCCGTCATTCACACTGCTCACCGACCACAAGCCCATTGTGCCCCTGATCAACTCAAAGGAACTGAAAGATGCACCTGTCCGCTGCCAATGGATGCTGATGAGGATGATGCGCTACAGCGGAAAGGCAGAATACACCCGAGGGAAAAACATGACTGTCGCAGATTCTTTGTCCCGAAGTCCAGTAGTGAGCACCGAACCTAAAGAATTTGGTGAAGAAATCGAGGCTCATGTCGCTACAATTCAGATGTCATGGGATGCCACGGACAGCAAACTTGACGAAATCAGAAACGAGTCTCAACAGGGTCCAGCAATCAGTGCTGGGACACAGTACACCAGAAGCGGTTAGCCGAAGTTCGTCCAAAACGTCAAGGCCGAAGCTCGCGACCTTTACGCAGTCTCCAGTGAACTGAGCGAAGTCCATGGACTACTCGTCAGAGGCAACCGCATCGTAAACCCCAAGGCAATGCGAGGAGAGATGCTCAGCAGGATCCACGACGGTCACCTAGGAGTGTCGAAGTGTCGAGAATGGGCCAAATCTTCCATTTGGTGGCCTGGTCTCAGCTCCGAGATACGGGAAGTCGTCTCAAGATGCGACCATTGCCAGTGGAAACGTCCAGCACAACCAAGTGAACCTCTAACCCTGCCAGCTCTACCTGAGCGGCCGTTCCAAATGGTTGGTGGGGACCTTTGCAACTACATGGGACATGACTACCTAGTACTCGTGGACTGCTTCTCTCGGTACTTGGAGGTGGCCTACATGCCAGACACCACCTCAGAGACTGTTGTTTACAAACTGAAAAACATCTTCGTTTGATTTGGCATTCCTGAACTACTGGTCACCAACAACAGTCCCCAGTTTGTGTCAGACCGCTTCCACAAGTTCGCCAAGAGCGGGGGGTTTAAACACACGACCAGCAGTCCTCATTTTCACCAGAGCAACGGCGGGTCAGAGAGAGCAGTCGAGGAGGCGAAGAAAGCCCTGAGTCAGGACGACCCATTTCTCGCTCTCCTGATCTACACCTGTGTCACCAACGGGGGATAACCCAGCGGAACTTGCTCTTGGGCGGGAAGCGGTTTTTCCTTCCCGAGCGAGAAGACCGAGAAGCTGACCTACTTCTCGCCGGGACCGTCCCGGGAACGAGAAATACTCCCCGTCTCGTGTCTCGAGCAATGCTTCTCGTCTCGTGACCAATTTCTCTTCTCGCCCCGCAGTTCGAGCCGCTCGCTCAGCGAGAAGGCCGGCCTTGGCCGAGATTTCTCTTCTCGCCCCACAGAACGAGCAACTCGTTTAGCGGGAAGGCCGGTCGTGACGAGGATCTAAACTTAGAAACTAGGCTTGCCCTGTTGCGTAGGCGCAGGCGGTGAAGGAAGGTTGGGAAACCAAGGCCTAGGCCCTGATCAACTCCCCACTCGTCTCGTCTCGCCACCCTCTCCCCTCTCTTTCAGTTTCACACACAGGACGGCACGGTGATGGGTGGCACTGTCTGCGTTGTCATTTCTCGCCTCTCACTCTCTCACTCTCGTTACTGTTACTCGTTATGTCAAGCCAACGAGCAGTATCACGTCTCGGTACGGAGCAGTAGTTTAGTGCCCGGGCAGCGACGGGAAGGGCGTTTCTCGCGAGAAACGAGTACTCGGCTCGTCTCGTGCCCGCCCTTAGGCGTAAGTACAAACAAGCTTTTGACAGACGTCACGGTGCTCAGAACCTCCCCGGAGCTGAATCCTGGTCAGCTCGTCCAAGGAGGGGCATGGCCCTGCGATTGTCAAAGAACGGTGTGCACCGAGGTCTTACATCCTACAGTCTGGGGATAGCGCTTACCACCGGAACCGCAAACATCTGAAGCCCAACGTCGCCCTGCCTTCCATGCCTTCTTCACATGTTGCCACCCCAGAGCCTACTCCGATGTCCGTTTCCTTATTTCCACTACCAGCTGCCCAGCCGGTGGAGCCTGATGTCACACCACCATCACCTCAGCCAGCTGCCGCTCCAGCCATTCCTGCTCCAACAACTACCCAAAGTGGGCAATTAGTGGTCAGGAGACCCGCTCGTTACCCGGACTGATGTTCTTGCGACCCCGTCGCATCCTTTCGATGACTGATTTTACTTTTTTTCCTTATTCTTTGCTGATTACCCAACAGTTGTGTAGATCTACCTGTTCGAGGTAATTTATTTTCTTAGTTTCGTTATCTGGAAGCTATGCAGTTTTTACAAATGTGACAGACAATTTGAAATGTTGTCCATCTGAAGTACAAAGAACTTTATTGAAATGTTTCACCAAGTTCTCAAGCGCAAGCCCCGAATCTTCAAAGACAATTGAACTCTGTGTGTGAATTTGGTTAAATTCCCCTTCGGTTATCACCAGAGACTCGAAACCAATAATCTGTAATCCATTTTGAGGTTTTTCCTTTTCTCCAATATTACAAAGGGAGATGTCACGGTAGTCACAGTTTCGCACCTTACTCTTTTTTAATCGCGGGACGTAAGCGCCCCGCATTCCATGGGCTTTTGGTCAATGTTACTCACTTCGGGGATGAACATAAAAAGTCAGACACTGCACCCAGGCTCATTTTCTAGATTGCTTGGTGTCGTGTGTGTTCGTCTCTCCCGTTTACAGTCGTGTATGTATACTAACATTACATCCCCCACTCCTTTTTCGTGTTTGTTACTCTCTTGTAACATTTCTAATCTTCGGCACTTTTTATGACCTATTTGTATTGCAAGTGCCGCAAAATTCTTAATAAAACTTTATAAAAACCACTAAGGAACTTTGCAGCACACCACACCACATCTGCACCACATCACACCAAAACATGCTACTCGACATCACAACCCACCATACAATCCTAACAACACGCGCAAACCACACGACACCATACTATACTTCTCTACACCACACCACCACATTTCACCTCGCCACCCCACACCATACCTCCCCAATGAACCCATGAGGTCAATTAATATGATAATAATTATAGACAAATGACTGACTTCTCTTCGTCAGCACCAGTGTCTGTGGTGTAGCGGTTAGGCGCTCAACTGTTGCACGCAGGAGACCCGGCTTCGATTCCTGAGTGGAGAGAACATATTTTATCGAATGTCTCGATCTTTCTGCTGAGATGTTGTATCCCTCTCATCCCGGGTTGGCCGCCTCCTAAATTATCTGAATTGTGTCGAAGAGGGCGTAAAAACGCCTACCTTAAACATTTTTTTCCTTCTCTTTGCCAGCCCCAGAAAGAGTGAAGCTGGACACCACTGGAGACCTTTCCTTCTTCAAAGCTCAGGATGAGGTACGCTGCCGAGAAGATTTTATTTCATGAGTAGGCCCAAATAAACCTCCCCTCCCTTGCCCCCTTTCTCCC